TCTTTCTTTAGATTTCAGCATGAAATGTGACCAGGTTCAGTTCTTGATAGCCTTCATTACATTCCCTCACATAGTCATTGCCTCATTCTCTTCAGGAGGCAAATTAGAATAAAATGCAAATAATAATCTAATTTTATGGATTCTCTTGGTTGTTTTAAAGACGATGTCAGATGTGTGGATGGAGAGCCGTTTTCTGCTTCTGTTTATCGCACACATGAGTTATGATTATGGGAAAGCGAGCAGGGCTTCTGGCTAATTTATGTTAGATGTGTTATCAGATGCTGCTGTCACCGGGGAGGCTCTTATCTGTTTCTCTGCATCTCACAAAATGGGCTTTCTAAGTTTGAAGAACGTATTTTGAGATGTTTTCAGCAGCTGCTTTTGAAAAACAGGAAGTAACGGGACTGATGTTGATGGCAGAGCTGTGTGTTTTTATTCCTCTTCATACCTGTTTGCACAGCAGGACTTTAACTTTATAATGGATCGTATTTTCATTCTTGGTCGAGTTCTTTGCCTGATAGTTTGAGAGAAAAACATCTTGCACAGCCTTGAACTGAACAGCTCGATGTACCAAAGCAGTGAGTGTAGATTAGACGGCTACTGTGTAGATTCTCTAGTGCTACTTCACCTCTTAACTCAAGAGCTAGTCACCCAAGATAAGATAAGTAAAATGCATTCATGCACTGCATGTTGGTCTCGTCTGTTAGTTACTTGAAGGAAACTGCAATTGAGCGTGACAGTGTTCTCCTGTTCATCCGTATTGGTTTAAACCTGGAACTGAACCGACACGGTCTGAGATGAATCACAACATTAGGTTTGTTATAAGACTGAATTAGCTCTTTATCCCATTAATCATTGCAAATTATAATCAATTTAATGCTATTAGTTATAGGTATGAAATACTTTATATATAATACAAAATATATAATTTGTGTGATATTGTATTTTAATTAATGAATGAAATATATAAATATAATAAAAATTGGATTTTTATTTTAATTCATTCATTCAATGTTATTGATTGTATGTACAAAATACTATATATATATATATATATATATATAATTTGCGGTATTATTTGTCTGAAAACTTTTGCAATACATGTATATGTGTATTTATTTATTTATATTTTATTGCATTTTTTATTGCATGAGTTTATTGTAAAATATTCAGACACATTACAAATAAATGTTCAAGAGTTTAAGAAGAATGGCACAATTGCATCGTTTGCAGTGCTGAGATCTTTTAGTGTGATTCCCGTTTCCATAGTAACAGTATCTTTTCTGATTCCCTTTGTTCTAGTGAATCTTTAGGATTATATGTAATTTGCATATACTTTTGTATTTAGGCATTTAGCAGATGCTTCTATCCAAAACGACGACTTGCAAACGCGGAGGAACAAAGCAGTTCATCAAAGCACTACATGTAGTTCTTCTGCAGGAGTTGGACAATTAAAAGCAAATTTTGTAAAATGTGAAGTTAACTTGCAATGGCATGATATAACTGTATATCTGGCTAAACAAGTGACTAAACAATCTTGATTTAGTCTTGACCTGCAGTGTGAAGAACAGCCCTCTAGTGGAGAACAGGATGAATTATGGCTTTAGACTGGATGCGTGAAGAGATAATCCTTAAATACCTCCATCAGATACCAGAGGCATTTCCTGTGTGCTATGTATTTGTGTTTGTGTGTGTGTGTGTGTGTGTGTGTGCAATGTCATTATAGTGCTTTTCTCATTGCATTTACATTTATGCATTTGGCAGATGCTTTTATCCAAAGCGACTTCAATTGCATTCACAGTAGGGCTGCACGATTATGACAAAAATCATAATTGTCGATTATTCCCTTGAAATTGTAATTGCGATTATTAATTACGATTATCACAATTTACATCGAATTATGTTTATACCATTGTTTGATGCAACTGCATGCTGAATTTTTATATGAAAATAACCAAGCTGAAAACACTCTAACTGAAAAACTTTTAGTGCTTTTCTATAGTATTAAGCCTCAAATGTCAACTATACATCGGATTGGTTTCTTTTTTAAATTATAACAAATAAAAATATGAATGGTATTATAATGTTAAACTAAAATTAAAATAATGGGCAAAACCCTTAAGATAACATGTAGAAAGAAAAAAATGCATCTTAAGCACGCAGAATAACATAAGTGGACTTT